CAATGTATCAACGGTGTTTACGGTCTTGGAGTTGAAAATAGACCTGGTACTTGAAGAGTGCAGAAATAGTGTAATCAAGAAAAAAAAAACTTTCAGAATTGTGATTATTACTAATGTTATTTAACTCCATAATATTGGTAAAAGGTTTAAGAGTCACTGAAATAATTTCTTTCTTAAGATAAAATTGCACTGTTGCAACAAATAAGCGAATCATATCACAGCAATGAATGAGAAAAGTCACTTGATAGTTTTGACACTGTCATTATTTGATTTGATTTTGATTTACTTATGATGAAAATTCGAAGATCTGTTTAATTACCTTCAACGAAATGGTTTCCTTTTTCTTAATTTTTTTACAAATTTATGGACATGGATCGCAAATATTAAAATGCTGTTTGTCCTGATTACAATTAATGCAAATAAATCACAAAGTAATGAAACTAACGGCCTCTGTTCTGGCCAAAGCAGCAATTTTCAAACAAGTAATATAAAAAGAATTATTTATTTTCATAACTTGAATTTTTATTTTATATAGCGTATTAGTTTATTTGTATGGTGCACATTATCTCTTTTAAATTTCAACATAATGACCGTAACAATCCTGAATAGAATTAAAATTTATAAAGTTTTAGCTGAGGCACTAGATATGTTATTTACCAGAGTTAAAAATCTTAGTTGAGGCAGCTCGTAGATATTTAAGATAGCAGATTTTGGAGACTTTTTTATTTATTTTTGAGTTTGGAAGTTATAAGGTAGAATACCTATAAAATAGATTTTTTAGTGAATTACGTAAAAATTTTCCATATTATGTTTAGAGATTTTGCTTAGCTATAGGTATTACAGATTTATTTCAATTCATCTTTGTTTCTTTCAGTTTACATTTTTATAATTTTTGTAAAACTGTTGGATTTCAAAAACATTACAAATAAGCAATAGTACTTATATTAAAAAAAACAAGTATTAGAAACACTCTCATTGTGTTACAAATGCACGAGTATCACAAAGAGAGGTTATAAGACACGTTTTTTAAATTGAATTTATTATTATATTTGACAGTTTGAATTTTTAACACTTGCGGTACGCAAGTTTAGTTTTAGTTTTGGTGAAATACGTTGAACTGCAACAATTTCTTACTTAAAAACGAACTGTTTTCAGTTTGCACAAATGCTCTTGTGACACCGAAATAGAAAAATTGAATTTATTATGAGATTTGCCAGTTAAAAATTTTGACATTTGACGTATGCGGTCCTTAAATTGCTCGAAAATAGCTTTAATTGCATTACTTTTGGTGAAATAAGTTGAACTGCAGCAATTTCTCACTTAAAAACGAGAACAAAGTATTGCATAAAATGTTCTCAAAAAGCAGTGTCTCAAAATTGCATTTTATGCAACTGTTTTCAGTTACACAAAATGCTTATTGTGACACCAAAAAAATATCTTAATCTTTTTGCAATATTATTTTATTTGTAAAGATTTTCTAAGTATGTATACTTGTACTTATTACTAATTGTTTTGCTGTTTTTTTTTTAATTTTCTGTAGTGTTAATACTTAATAGACAACTTCTTGAAAAGTCGTTTTTATTTTTTATAATAATTTAATTTTTAGATAATCGAACAAATTTTTTATAATCAGAACATTTTGTAAATTTTGTAAATTGGACATTTTAATACAAATATTTATAGATAGTAGTGGTTAGTTCATAGTAGTTTTTTGATGTAAATGGTGGATTCGCCGGGTTTGTCCTGAAAGTGTGCCAGATTTGAGCCGAAGTTAGCCTTTGAACGCAAGGCGAGTGTCGAGTTCCGGCGTGCGGCTTGGAAATCTTTCAATAAATAAGCTCTTTGGCCACTTGTGAGTCCCGAAGTGATAAAGATATCTATCTGGTCATCCGTCCGATCGGATTAATGACGTTCGTTCCGTGTCGGCAACTTGTTGAGGTCGGTGTGAATTAGCGGAAAAATGGCGGATTCGCCGGGATCACGATGCAACCAGTGACAGTAACTCTTCAGCTCGTTCGCTCGACGAAGCGCAAGAAGTTATGGTCCCGAACGGTGCTAACTTTGTCCATTAACTCACGAGAATACACATTCGTGTTGCTTATTTACTAATCCATGACGTGGATCGTTTAACACCTCCTCTCTTTCTCCCTCGCGACGACAAAAAGAAGGAATTTAGGGAGGAAAACCTCCTAGGTGTATTTATGGGGTCGCGTTCGGGGTGTCCACACCCTATGCATTAATGCAAACAACTGGGAAATTTATTACAATTCCAACATTGTCCCGATAATTACGACTCGCGACTGTAATAAATAAGTCGAGTGTAAACCAGCGAATAACATTGATATCGTTTTAAATAGTTATTATTGTAAGTGTTGCGCAAGAGGCACTTTCTCGCTTATGAAATTCGAGTCGGGACTTTCTAAGCGCACTGATAAAATCTATTCTTTGTTTCAACTAAGAAAGGAATGCGAAAATCGAAATTTTCGAACGCTGCAACGGAAATAACACCTGTATTATTTTCCTAAATGAGAAAATTTTTAAACCCACTTGACGAGGTTTGACCTGCCTACTTCCAAAAAGGAAAGTGAAATGGTTATTACTACAATTACCTCACAAGAAAAAAGTTGTACATAAATGGATAAAAATCGTGGTATGTAAGGAATGTTAATATTAATTAATTGGGAACTTGGGCAAGGCTACAGATCGGTGACCGATTTATTTCCTCATAAAAAATGATTTAATTTATTGTGATCAGTTAATTGTGTTTCCCTTCCTAGAGCTACTTGTCTTTTCTTGGTATTAATTATTGTCCGAGCGCCTCAAGGGTCAATTCTCAGTTCGTTGTTGCTTCCAATATTGATTTGCTTGAGTGCTTTTTGATTTCTTAATCTTCTTGCATCATTTGCAATTGAAGTAATTGGATTTTTGTGGAACAAAAGAAAAAAATTTCGTGTAGATGAGGAGGTCGGTTTGTTGAAAAAGAAGGAGCGCATTCGAACACTAATTAAGTTTTAAATTGCTTCCAACAGAAAATAAAACTGTACATAAATTGCATGACTCGGGACTATAATAACTTAGAAATTATTTAAAGCAATAAAAAACAAACGGCTATTTTAATAACATGTAATCAAACGACCATCAACGTAATGTCAACAGAAACGATTTTTGCTTCGTTCTGTTTTATTTAATCTGCTTTTGTTAATTCTTTAACTACATTTCCTGGCGCATTATTTTGAATATCAGAGGGAATATCCGTTCTCGGGCCGATAAGGCGGTTTCGCCTCGCTTGTGCGGAAATTTGAATTTTTGCAATATATACAGGCTGACCCAAAAATGACAAAACTTTTTTTTGTTGATAATGTTGCGCCATTTTCGCGTCGCTGATGAAAAAAACTGAAAAAATAAATTTCGTTTCATGAAGCAACAACGAAACAAGAAAAGGCAAATAAAAAGCTGGCGCGCACACATATAAATTACTTTTTAATATCACAGCATCATGAATCATTGCAGGAAAGCGCTGAATTTTCCAGGACGGAAATTTACAAATTTAATACATGGTTTATTTTTCAATTTTAATTGCAAATTTCGTTTCGTCGATTTTAGAAACGTGTCTTCTCTCAATGTAATTGTTCTTTCTGGTATTGAAATTTATTTAGTTGGCATTTGTGAAAATGGCCATCTTCGATGAGATGTAAACGTTTTATTGGAGCATATTGTGCCCCACGGTGAGTGTACAATTCTCGTATTATTGATCTCATCCGGGCTCGGGGGAGCAATACAAGACATTTCAGTGAGGAAAATATGACTGCAATGCGTGTTTTTCATATACATACACTTTGTAATATCTATAAAATACGTATTGCCGTAAAATGTGCCCCTTTGTCGGGCGAGGAGCACCCTCGCCCATTCCCTTTATCTCGTTCTGTTTTTATTAAACCAAACTAAATTTTCGTAAAGTTTGTTTGAATTCATGTATTTAAATATTCATTTTTCGACGCATTTACATACATATGGGACAGAATGATATTCCGCATTTACTTTGAATTTTAAATTTTCGATGTAATCATATTCGGAATTAAATCAGTTCATTTTGAAGCTCGATTCGAGTCTAACTTTGACGATAAGATTGAAAAGTTTCAGCAAAGATTTTTCGAATTTGGCCGATCCGCTTAAAATTTATTCTTTCTAATACTGTCGAGACAAAATAATAAAAGCCAAGAATAATGGCTTTGAGATGTTGTTACTAAATGAAATTGCCTCGGGGGTATTAAATTTTTATATTACGGTACTTTCTAACAGGTTTCAGTTATTAAGTGAAAATTATACGAGAGAAAGACGTAATTGAAGTGGCTCTAAATTGTAGTGTCTTATTCGAACTCACACCGGACGAGGATCGGTTCGTTCGTGTGAATCCGGCTTTGCTATAGCCGATTTATGGCTACAACTCCACTAAGTTATTGTGCACGACCTCAACAATATTTATTCCGATTCAACCGTGCAGAAAAACGACGAATAAACGACGTAATTACTACGCGAAAAAGAAGAAAAAAATGCGCTCAACGACGACGACCTTATTCCAGGAACCTTTCCGAAATTGCACTTCTGACCTGGAAGTGGAAATTTAATGAGAAAGACGCTCAATATTCCTGCTTCAATTTACACAAGAAGAACTAATTCAACACTGTTTTACTTAATTACTCACTTAATTGAATATGTATTTTAAGCGAGCTTTGTGAACGAAGCTTTAATTACGTATGAGACGAGAGAAAACGACTCGGAACATAATCTAAATTAGATGGAAAAATAAGAAAAGACGAGGGAACGGTTTAAGCGCATTGCGGCTCACAGATTCAAAAACAAATCTCAATAGTTTTCTAAAAATAGAGATTTTGGAAAAATGTTTTTTTCTTTCACATGACAAATACCTAACATTAAAAAATTTAGATTAGTAAATGAAATCTATTTGAAGTATAAAGTAATAAACAAGAAAAATTTCAATCTTCAGTGGCTTTTATTTATTAACATTAATTTGAAAATATGAGATTACACATAATTATTGTGTTCTGGAAACGTTTTATCCAAAAGTCGATTTTTGGAAATATAATACTTTTGTTCCAAACATAAAAGGTTATCACCAATAAGTCCGGAGTTATTGCCAATTCACCGTGCTAAAAATCGACCAAAATCTTGACAAAAATCAAAAATATTTTCAGCTTTAAAATTGATCCACACAACGTTTTTTTTCTAGAGGTCTTGAAGACTGAAAAAAGTGCAAAAATGTTATTGAATAAAATTTAAAAAATTTTCGAATTTTTGAGTTTTTGAAGATGGGCGGTAAAAAATAGTCAGTTTACTTTAAGTTGTAAAAACGCTTCAAATATGGTTTTCTAGACGTAAAATTAAGCGCTGAACATGATGCAACAAGTTAAATTACCCTACGATGCATAGTTTTTGAGAGATTGAGTAATAAAATTAAGAATAAGGCTCGAAGCATAAGCACTATATCCTATTTTGACCAAAAAATCTTTTTTTTTTTCTTATGAAAAACTAGTACGGATACTGTAATACCCGTGTACAAACTGTTTTGACCTAGGACTCATAGTTTTTGATATATGACTTTTTTATGAGAAAACATTGAAATGGCTCTGTACCTGGAACCATCGCCCGGAGGGAATTTCGCCATTAAATAGATAATTTAATGTAGATTTTAATGGTTTTTAGCTTTTTGCTGTAAGTCTTATAGTTTCCTTAAAAAAGCGCATTTAAAGTTTCAGAATCCTGAAAATTTTTCTTTTTTGAACGACGATTATGGCCAAACTATTAGACCTAGAGCAAAAAGCTTAACACCATCGTAGTCAGCTTAAGAAAATCTATCGATTGTCGCCAAAGCCATGTCAATATAGCAAATTTTTTTTGAATGTTTAAACTTCGATTACGGCAAAACTAGAGGAGATAGCGCAAAATGCTTGTGCAAATTCGTAATCTGCGCGTCAAAATTTATCGGAAAAGATAGGTTTAAATYGAATCTGAGACATGTTCAAAAACACCTGTTTTTAAGTTTTTAATTTTTCCTTTTTTTATTTTGTAAATTGCTGCAAAACTGTACTTTAGTGATAGAATATTTTGACCTAGACATATGCAAAATATTCCGGGGAATCGATTGGCGTCATGAAAACTGCAAAATTTGATGTTATCGTCGAATTTTAATTTTTGATATTTTTGACTTTTTCAGAAATTTTTTCCAAAACTATTTATCGTAGAACACTGATCTTTCTTCTGTATGATAGAAAATTATATTTGCTTTCCAATGGTACCAAACATAAGAGATTATTACCAATAAGTCCGGAGTTATTCGCAATAGACCGCTCCGGGTGCCAAAAAACGACCAATATCTACACAAAAATCTAAAAAAATTTCAACTTTAAAATTAATCCCATTAACGTTTTTTACATTTCTAGAGGTCTTAAAGACCTCTAGAAAAAAGTGAATAAAACATTGTTGGGTCAAGTTTAAAAAATTACGAACTTTTTGAGTTTTTTTCTCTGGGGCGCGAATTAGACAGGGAATTTGTCTATTGTAGATATAAACTGTTTTGGCCTATGGGTCATAGTTTAGTAATGTTAGGTTAAAGGCTATAGTAGGCTGTAAATAATGAAAAACACAAATTGAATTGTTGGTCGGTTATCTGGAATGTAAAAAAATTACAACTTACTATAATGATTGGAAGTTAAAAAAGAAATTGAACAATTAATAAATATTTTAGAGCAATTATTGTAGTGTTGTATTACCAAATGATAACAGTGACGTGGTACCCCCTACTCTACTACTAAATACCATTATTGCAAGCTTTCTTTTAGACCTTTTTCTTTTAGATTTATTTAAATTTTTACAAGTGACAACCAGCGAATTAAATTTTTAGGAGATACTTGTAAAATTTGTCAAGCACAAAGAGTGGGGGTTTGTATCTTTTAGGTTCAAAGTTTAAAAACAAATATTGCAAATGAGTAAAATTGGTCGTGTCATGATAATCCTAATGGTTTTCCAGTACATTTCTGGTCGTTGCGCTTTTGAAAGTGAAATTTGCGTCAATAATTCCGTGCGTTGGGTGTTTTGTTGTGGCGTCGTCCCATCAATCGGGTCGGTTTTGTGCGTCGCGTCGTTAGTGGCCGCACCATCGACGGCGAGAGGATGATGCCACAGGTGGTTGAATTAGTGTCGTGTGGGTCAGTCGGAGAGCTTCCTTTTCGGATAAACAAGTCTCCGGTCGCCCTCGTCGTCGTTGTCTCCGTCGTTGAAAATCGATCGATCCCTTCGTGGACGACAGGTGTAAAAATGCGTTTCGTGACCGCGAGGTCTCCCACAGAATACAATGGGTCGTTCATGACCCTCTGCGTCCGATCCTCGGTGATTTGTAGGTCTGGATCAGATCGCGATCTCGCAATTAAACGTCATGTCGTACAAGGACTGCTTTCGAACCGCGGGCGTCGCTTCGCGAGTCTATTTGTACAACCACCGGAGATACAAGGGACGATATTATTAAGAACACCACGGAATCGTACCGAGTAATAATTGCATCTGCTCAAACCGAGCACTAAATTTCCGAGAATCGCGACCCGTTTTAGATAACAGGAAAATAATCAGATCGGAGGACGTAACGAGGATGCCGATGTGTCGATTATTACGCCGGGAGAGGATGACGGCCCAATAATGAACTGAGGGATGCGACTTGAGCTAATTACGAATAACTGAAACTAAGAAATCAACGGAAATTGCAGAATTAACACAAAACCAGGATCTAGACCGCTTCAGATTATTATATAATTTTTTTAACCTAAATTGTAACATTTTCAATAAATATTTTTGTACATTTATAAAATGTATAAACATATCTTTGTAAAACAATAAATAAAAAACCGTTTTTATTTAAGAAAAAAATTATTAGTATGGTAATCTCAAAAGTTTAAACAATTAATTTAAAAAAATATTTTAGCATTTTCCTTTACAACCTTTGAACATTTATTAATTTATTTCCAAAAAAATTGGTAGTTTACTCAAAAAAATTCTTTATTTCTTTTAAATCAAATATTTTTTTAACAAAAAAGTGTGAGGTTTACAAAAAAAACTTTTTGCATGGCAACAATTCTTGTAACAAGCTCGTTGTCTAAAAAAAATTGTGGTAGGTTTCTATTTAAAAAAAACAATGTTACTATGTTTATCTCGTAAGTATAAACAAATAATTAATATTCAAAAAAATTTTTGAATAGCATTTTTATAGCCATTGCATTTGCCAAAAAATTTGATAGTTTCGCCAGAATAACATCGTTTCCAGACTTTTGGAACACTCTGTATTATAGATCAGTTGTAGAAAAAATTTCGTATATCATGCTTGCCATTTACAATAAAAGAAATCATCCCACACTGTGCGTCGCGTTAATCTAATATCTATTAATAACAATCTGGCAAGTATTTTTTAGTATGACATTTACGAGCCGGTCAAATGGATTACATTCCCCATCCCTGTTCCCATAAAATTTAATTAAAAAAGTGCGCAGTCATATTTCACGAAATTAGCAGAAAAGCTGAACAACGTCCGGCCATGAATTTTTATAGGAAATATCGTCGGAATCCCGAAATTGTCGTGGACATGCGGTTCGGTATGCAAGCGACGACATGATGATTTGTTGCAAAAACTGAACAGAGACACATACAAGACAGGGGCTTTTCATTGCGAGCTTTATGACACGGCCACCGTCGATGCAGAAGTCGACAAGATCGTGGGCGGCCAATTTGTTACTTGCAAAGAACTTTTTCTACATCTTGTATAATTTAAATTTAATTTTTTAACGATATATTAACTTTATCGTTGATGGGCAAGTTGTCTCAACTCAGAATGCTATGAAACGACTAAAATCTACACATTTGAAAGTTTTTGTTTATTTTATGACACCAAGAATGAAAAAAAGACGTCTTACCTGAAACAGCTTGTAGATCATCCTATATTTCTTGGGTTCGTTAAAAGTTAGTTGCGGAGTTTTAAAGCTCGACTAGATTTGAAAATATTGTTTTCGCGTGATTGTTTAAAAGAGAAAATATGACGTATTTTGATAGATTACAACTAGACAAACTAAAAATTTAAACTGTCATAAAGATTGATTAAGGTTCTCTGAGCAGTGGAGTGTGTTGGTTAGATTAGGTTTCAATTTCCTTATACCTCGAATGATTTATTTAAATTTTATGTCTTTGGAACTGTTGTTTAATTGATTATGGAAATAAAATTTCTTTCGTCCGGGAATTGTTGAGTTTTTCCGTTGAAAATTTACGACTTTCTTGGGAAAAATAACCGGGCGTAGCAACAATGAAAACCTTATTATCCCATCCTTCGTCTTGTCGATTCCGATCCGATTCTAGTCCATCCGAATCGAGGAAATCGCATTTGCAACATCCGCAATGAAATTCCATGTTGTAAATCGATCGTTTTCGGTCATTTAATCGAATTAGGAATTAGTGTAAGGTCTCGATGGGACCGCAATCGGATGATACCCTTCAGGATTGCGGCCATCATCTCTTACGGCGGGGCGCTGATACTGATGTAACAGGTGGTGCGAGAACCTCCTTTGCTTTGGTCACCACCACCTGACGCCGTGTTTGCCCCGCAGGGACGGCTCGTCAAGCACCTGTCGTCATGTTTTGGCCCTCTGTTACCTGAAAACTCGGCGAAGGTTTGAATTCAGTCGGAATTTTGCCATCGTGTATTATACGTGTGATTGTGGAGTGAAGTGAGGTTTGAGAAGGTGTACCGACATGTATGTGGGGTTTGGATAAAGGGATTTGCGCTAATCACGTGCCACGCGAGACGTCTGATTGAGGGGTTGTGAGGATAATTTTGGTAGGAAGGCTATATTAGACTTGATTTCAAAGCGTTTTTCACCATTGGAGAGTTCTAAATTGTTGAACAAGTTTGTTGATATGAAAATTCGATTACTTGAGATATCTGAAATTATCATTTATTTACGTCGTCCAAAAAGCGAGAGAACGCCCGTCGAATTTCCATCCCCTTAAATCGATCTCTTCCAATGATCATTGAGCCAGTGTCAAGTGTAATCCATTCCTCTCGTTTACTTTTTATTCTTTTCACTGGTACCCCTTTTCTGCGCTTCTCTTTCTTCTTCTCATCCGTTACGATTTGATTCGTTTGGTGTCCTTCTTCCACTCGAAGAGAGAAACATGACGACGCTTCAGTGTTGCGAAACTAATTTAAACAGAAAACCAAATTTAATCATTTCTCTAGAGCTGCTTTCATTAGCAATAGAACTTTACAAGAAAGTAAAGAATAACACTGCTTGAATTGGAATGATTCATTATTAAATTTTAACTGTCTAGAAACTTTGTTTATATTTAATTACGGGATAAGTTTTTGAAATTAATTTTCTGCATAATAGCCGTCCTCTTAACAAAACAAAAGACGACAGCCATTTTAGATTTTGATGTCGGTAATTAATACACCGAACTAATAATAACAAGAGATAAAATTGTCAAAATTTTGCTCGATCCCGTCGAGCGTCTCAATTAGTATGGATGCGTTTCTCCGGTCGAGTTTTTGCGACATGCATGCCACAATAATTCCTGCAACATACTTCTAGTAAAAGCTTTTTTCGTCTAAATATCTTGTTTTCTGCATTATCATCGCAACATGGCGTTTTATTTTTTTCTCGTAGCGGAACATGTGTTCCCAAGCAGTTGTTTTAATGAGAACATGCAGTAAAAGACAATTAGTCATTGTTTGCAATGTCAATACTTTCATTGCCAAGGAAGGAAAAATCTTAGAGGGTAATTTTGTTTACACGGTCATCAGGGTTGTATTCGTTGAAATCGAACATCTGCTTTCTCTTGGCATGTGCATGAAGAGGGTCGAGAGATTTACGACGGGGCCTAAACGGCACAAGGGCCAAGCCAATCTTTTATGAATCGTCTCAAAAACAAAATAATTTACTGTTTTCTCATCGGGATTAATTGCTAATTGAATGAAAGGACATGGATCTGTGACAGTTGCGTTAAATATCGGTCTGATCTAACAGCGAACTGGTTTTTCAGACAATCGAGATAGAGGCGAATTTATGGCCAGGCCGGGCCGAAGTGAATGCCAGAAATGGCTAAAACACGTGTACTTCCATAGATAACGCCTAATGAACCAATCCGCACAATAAAAAAACAATAAAAGCCATCACATTGTGTCAGTAGGAACGACCAAGGGTCATTAATAAAATAAAAAACAAATCGCTTCATGTCCAATTAAAAATTCATAATTAGAGTTGCATCAGAACAACCACAATAACGAGTCCAGTTTTCAACTTAGATTTTAACATTAGAGGGGTGTGGTTGAGGGTGAACAAACTTTTCTATCGACCTGCCTGAGGCTTTTAAGAAGAAACAGGGAGAGTTTAAATTTTTGCCTCCACCCGACCCCGACCCCTACGAGCCCTTTCACCCTCCACTTTCATAAAATCCTGAAATAACTTTCAGTGACACAAAATAAAATGGAATAAGAAAATGAATTGTCGTTTTCACTCTTTCCTTTAATTACATCGGGGCGACTCTTTCCCATCCCTTTACAGCCATCAAATTAGCCGTTTTTAGTTGGGCCGGCGACACTTTTTCGATTATTAACACAATGATTGAGTTTTAAAACCGAGTTGGAAGAAAAAACTAGTTTCACCTTATTTCAGCCGAAAATTGAATTGATGGAGATGAGAAAACTTCGGCTTTGATAAGAGGAAAGTTTGAAAGAAGTAGTGAAAACAGGGAAACGTTGATAAAATGATGATTTATTTCTGCGATTTTTTAAATCTAATTTGAAATGTTTGAAATTAATACAAATTACCGGTTTGGTACATTGTACTTTGCTTTGCGACTCATTTGATTATATGAAAAATAAATTAAACTTGTAAAATGTTTCGGAAATGGGTGTTTATTGTGTTAGCTTTCAGCGTTTCTTATGATTTTGAATATAAAAGATTTTATTGTCTATAAAACAGTCGCGAGCGTTGATTCTTTGATGTAGCATCTTAGGAGAATTACTCGAATTTCATCATCTAATGAATTTGAATGGAATTGTTGTTAAAATCGGGTTCGCATCTTTGGGTATAAAAATTTCACATGTCTGCAATAATTTCGCATCGATCGTTTGTGAAATTGCCCTCGGATGTTTCGTCATAAATTTTCTTGATCGAGTGTAGTATATCTTTGAGCGAAGCCAGTTCATTTATCTTTATAAAGTGTATAACGGTCAACAGATTTCAAAACAGAAATGGTCGTTTTTAACCGAATTTCGTAGCGTTCGTTAGTGTTTCGAGTCCGGATGGATGAATCCGGATGCCTGTAAAAGTTTAGCGCAAACGTGATTTTCGTCCAAGTGGATTTGTTGTTAAAATAGTAACTATGAGTAATCGGCGATCGTTTAATGAACGTTAACGAGGACAATGGACGTAATTGGAAATAAAAACGCACTCTGTACCCAATTATGCATTCGATGGAGCAGTTCCATTAGTTAATTAGTAAAATATAAAATGCAGGAGCACAGCACCGCGCTCATCTTTAATTAATTTCATAATATTCGTTGTTTGCTTGCGATTATTGCACATTATACAAAGAAACTTCGAGAGTATGCAAAGTAAATTATTAACATTCATAAACGAAAGCCTCTCGAGTTTTAATACGGCCCCCACGCCCGCCTCTCACCCCCGTCGACTTTATTTCGAATAAAATTTCCATTCGTTTCCTCTTCTTTTTACATGAAATTGCTTCTTTTTCAAGCCCCCGGCGCATGTACAGTTTGATATCGACTGGGCCCCAGCTTTTTTGCATCTCTCTAAGATCCGCCATCATCATCATCATCATTATCACAACCTCGTCGAATTACGCGAAGTGTTAATTATTTAAGGCGTCCCGAGGGCTCGTTTGCGGTCGACAGGTATTGCGTCGAGACGCCAGCCACCGCCGCCGCCTGACCTCAACGGCGGCGGCGGCGGCCCGTTCGGTTCCGCACGAACAGGTGGTGCCCTTGACGCCACCGCCGCCGGATTCCTCCAGACAGCTGTTCGTCGTCCGGAATCACTACGCTTTATGACGTCTTCATAAAAATTACGTTAGTCTTTTACGCGTATCGAATATTTAAACCCGGAATCCGGATTTTTCGGTCACACGACGCCACTCCCAAAGGGAGTATTTTCCACACATTCGCGAACTTGTACATCTTGACATCGAAACTCTCAGGTGCTTTTAAGCAATTGTCAAAGCGGGGCTGTCTTGCTCCGGGTTAAAGCTGACGTGTCCGGATTTTTCCGACTGAGATATTTATAGAAGATGAGACGAAACGATTAATATTTCAAGGGGCTATTTTCGGGAATGCATCCAATAAAAATTATTAATAAGAGACTGTAGGGATTTTTAATTACTTGAATAATTAATTTAAGTTCATTATTTATTTGGTGGAAAAGATATAAAATATGGTGTGTTTCAAATCTAAAAAGATAGAGTTGTAGCATTTGGAAATGAGTTTTTTTGTTCTCTTCTTCTCTGTTTCTGCACCTTATTTTCGTGTGGTTTCATTGTCTTTGCGTTAATTAAAATCCGAATATTTGTGGCACTCAATCCCGACTGGTATTTAAAAAATTTAATTAGCGTCACGCGAAAACCTTGTCTATGTATTGGTTTCCATGTGTGTGTGTGCGTGGTTATACGTCGTCCGCGATTGTGTATGGGAAATGAAATTATTAAGCGCCGTCGTTATAAAAGTTATAAAATGAAATTTCCGGGCCACAAAGCATGTCTGGGGGAGATGATATATAGGAACGCATTTTTTGCGTACTATTTATAATGGAAAGAATCAATGTTTGTGGACGGCGTTGCCGCGCGGACGCTTGTCGCGGAATGCGCCGCGGTACGGCAACGTCGCCGTGCAAGGATCGATGCCACCCCTCGGCGGCGGAGGCAACGGTTGCCTCCTCGGAGATGTTCGATGGACCTCGGGACGGGGTGATGGCGGCACCCACCCCCAGGCCGCTCCTACGGCCCGTACCGGGACCTCCTCTCCTCGCGACCTCGCAACTC